AAACGAGTTGATATGTGCCCAAGTATCTTATTCACAACTAGTGTATTCATTCATGCTCATATACTTGATAGGCGTCGTGGTTTCATTTTCGCCCGTCCAAATAATATGCGAGGTGCAACTCTTCTTGACCCCTGTTTAAATCAACACATTGACAACAATGTAGGGTAAAAGTACTTTTGCCCATCGCTGGATGGATAATATCCATCTTGAACGGTTTAATTAATAATCATTGACAACCTTTCTTTATTCGGCTCACTGTGGAAAATAAAGAATTGTTGTACATTCCTCTGATGAGCGCGACAAACGTGAATGTCTTGTTGTCCATGTATTGCTTTTCTCTTTGTTTGTCTGATATTCTCTGATGTTTTGTCTTGTTTGTCTCATTTGTATGACTTTTGCACCTCACCGATTGATGTAACTGTCTCAAACCGTCGTCCTTAATTCATTGATCCATCGATTGATTTCATCCAATTTTATGTTTAAATTGGTTTGTAATTCTCGTTCGATAAGAGGCAGATCGCTGAGCAGCTGAAGTAGTAGTATAACCTAACGACTGATCATTACTAGTTATATTCGCTTTTAACTTGCATATTTACTAACTAAATAATCACGAACTCGAGTTCGTGTTAAATCCACAATGCAACTTTTAACTGTACCATAGATACAAGTATACAAATTAATTAAGGGACATGCGTGGGTGCAAGAGCAAGTGACCACTACTGGTTCATTGCCCCAGGTGGCAGCATGAGTTGAAAGTAAAGTCCATATGCATGTAAGGTTAGGTCAATCATTGGTAAGTTTTATAGAAAGGCGCACTCTTCACTTTCATCTCACTCGGTGTTTGGCATCTACTTAGTTCCGCAATAATCTGTAGTACAACTTCAACTACAGTCTGCCTATGTGGCCGATCTGCATCCGAAATATGCCTATTTACCTAACCAGTTATCATCAAGTCTCTAATCACTCCCCACGTGTATGTACATTAAGGAGGTTTTCCCCCATTAAACGGGAACAATTAGTTTTTGCTCCAATGCGGTTGCTACACTCGCTCGCTATCAGTGGGAGGAAACAAGAATACGTATTTAGCTAGAACGCGAAAAAATACATTATCTTATTCTGACGCTTCCATGTTTGAATGGAGACCAAGATGTAGCCCTAGTTCATGCGTTAAGGTGATCACGCGCTCGTGTGTCTATGAAAAAGTCAAGACCCCAAGTTTTTTGGCTGTCAAACGACAGTCCAACCCATCACAAGTGACCCGTGCACGTCAGAACTGAGGGATAACTCAAAACTTTTATCCTCTTGTAACTACCAGATGACAGTTTCGCGGGTCAACAACTGACGTATGAGCGTGCGTTCTTGGCCGCCCGACATGACGTTCTCTCTGCCTGATGTGCGACATCATTCACACGTGTTGGAAATGAGCGACCAAAGTCTAACCCTCGTCCTGCTTGTAACGACCAAATGGTCGTTTATCTAGGGAGACCGCTACCTATTGCGACCATCGGCAAGTGGCACCCAAACACATATTTACACCTATGGAAAGGGGGAAGGTGCTGCCTAAATAAACCAGGCCCGACGGTACCACCACCGAAGTTGATTCCATATTCGATAGTCCCGCTGGTGAAGTTATTTTCCTAACCTGGTTGCACAAATATAGACCCGGTATGCACCTCTTGGTCTATATTTAGGCTTGACCAATACGGGTACCATCGTCGCTTAGGCCAATTTCTTTTATTACCGTTATTTTTATTTTATTTATTCTCGAGGTGAATCGAGTATTTTGAAAAAAAAAAAAAAAAAAGTGGTAGGGTTTTAGCAGGATTGGTGGGGTTTTAGCAAGATTGACCATGAACAAGTAAAAAGTAAATAATATGATAACCCATAGTGAAGTAGCTTGTCGTCAAGCAAAGCAGATTGGACTGTGTTTCGTTCAGGTTAGGCTAGTGGGGTACCTTTAACCCTAATTGCAGACCAAAATATCATACCGGTGTGAAAACTTTAACACATATAGGAGAGCTAAAATTATAACGATATCGTTATAAGAGAAGAAAGACAAACCCAGGGGGCGACCTTATGAGTCAAACTACCCCTCGATTCCTTCAAAGTTTCGCTCCTCATTCTTATTCCTATCATATGGAATCGAACTCTGGTCCGCTGCATGAAATCTAAGTGCCCTACCCATTGGGATAGTATTCCGGTTAGTAAGGCTCAACACAAAATTCCTCATTAAAAACACCTATCTCGTCTTCTACCTCACTTATCCCAACTAAGGGCTTGCTGTGGCCTTACCAACTCACGATAATGGATCCAACGGCCCGTCGATCTCTGACTCTAAGTCGGGCCGCCTATAGAGGCAGCATGATCGAAACATTTTCTTTACTAAGGCGGTTAGGGAAAATGCCTTGCTTTCACCTACGACGGGTTCCGCTAATCAGACCCGGTGGTATCCTCACCAACAATAATAAATACTTTGAGACTACGGGATCGCGGCTCCGTGAACCCAAGCACTCTCCGTGTCCCATTTAAACTAGGTGTGTACTAATTGCATGGCCGCTCAATATGGTTTTACCGAAGTGTCATGAGCCAGGTTGTTTAACAACGGTTGGTCTCGTAACCTATAGGCTACGTGTGACACTGTCGGCTTCTCGGCCCGGTGACCAAAGCTGAACTGAGTCACATGTCACGACATTCCGTCACAACGGTGGGCGCCCCAAATGCTAATGTGTGCACACTCTACGTGCGAGGCAAAACCTAAGCAAATGAAGTCATCGTGGACGCGCGTCGTTACACGAGCCGACAGACTAACTCGCTGACCATCAGGGTCGACGACTATCCGACTACCCACCGTCAAATGCAATAATGTGCGCTCACCCTAATGCTCACCTTTACTTACGCTTGCCTTGTGACGACTATATAGGTTGAGGCGAGCTGTCGCTAAAACAAGTGTGTGGGGGCCAAACCCCTCCGTGCTTATTTGCCCTAGTTATGATGGTCGTGGTGAGCCAACGCAAGAGTCGACATGCCAGTGCATCTCCTGCAAGGTTGGTGCCTATTTGCCCGACCATTCGACCACACCTTGCCATGCCTCGTGCAAGCTGCAAAAATCCAAGCTAATAACCTTGTAAGGGTAATGGTCAACAGGGGTTAAATACAGCAGGGGGAGCAGGCACACGAGAGTGCTCGTGGTGGTCGACACTCCTCCCATGACATTTGAATTCGAACGCGGGCTCTTGGAACCACCCCAACCCGGCCCCGCAATCCCACTCGTTACATTTTCGCTGCCCCACTCCAACAGTCACCTATGGTGTCGCCCACAAATGGCTATAAGGTTGGTAACGGTTCTGGGTGCCTCTCCAACAGCCTCTCAACCTGGTGCATGCAACTGCGCCTTCCGTGAACTAGGAACATGCAGGAAAATTAGAAAAACTCTTTTCCTCCTCCTTTTTTTTTTTTTCCCCTTTCTGTCCACGTCATTTGTAGCCCTTCAACTCAAGGTACCTCCCAGAGGTCCCGGGGTACCTTGAACACCAGCACGTCGGCCATATGTAGACCGCGGGAGAAAATAAAGCAGAATCGTTTTGATTTGAATGAATTTGGGTGCTCCGCTCCAGGCCCGTTGATCCGAGCACGCTGCAGCTTTCGGAGGTACTGGCGGTTTGAGCTAAAGGGCGGATTTGCTCATGGCCACCCTTGACTTTCTAGTGTGAAACTAAGGGTAGGACTCCACTAGACGGCGGCAAGCCTTTGGAAGATTTTTTGGGACTCCACTGCTGGCGGCAAATGCAAACCTTTTTTTTCCACTCTGCGTACCTCCGCTTTTTCAGCACACCAACCAATCCCCGTGCTTCCTTTCCGCATGGGACGGGTAAATCTAGAGGGTGCGTTTGCCTACCTCTAGAGCTCGGCAAACGCACCCTCTAGATTCAACCATCCCTTGTGGAAAGGAAGCACGGGGATTGATTGGTGTGCTGAAAAAGCGGAGGCAAACTTGCCCAAAAAGGCAAGTCTTCCTGATCGGGTAACATAAACCTGGGGAAGTGCCGAAAACCATTCCCGTCGGCTACGATTCTGGGCAGGCGGATGTTTTCCTGGTGCCAAGCGCCGCCAAGCAGTGGGGTCCTACCCTAAATGTCAGAGAAGTGGGAAACATGTCAGATCCTTATGAGGGCATTTTCAAGCATTTTCAACTGGCATTGAACGAGGCCCCAACTCAGGCATGACACCACATGAGCTAGCTCTTGGGGACCCCTTGCAGTAGGCTAATTTGCTAGATTTGTTAGAACTGGAGATTGAAGGGGACTGGTCAGTGGAAGGGGAAGGAGGGGACGTGGGCGCTTGTGAAATGGGTGGGAAGGGCACAGGAATCAGGAATCATGGAGTAGAAGAATTGGGAGGGTGGGCAGGATGGATCGCGGGGGGGTTAGCTCTGACTTGCTGGTGGAAAAGCACCAGACAGCGCTGCCGATAATAGGTGGCTTGGCCCTAAATCCAGTAAAAAAGACAAAAAGAAAAAGTCTTCTTGCACGCGGCTGCCCTGTCTGTCTGATTTGCGTGCAGCGCGAAACAGCAGGCAGACAGGCAGACACGACAGGGCGTTTGTGCATGTCGGCGGTGAGTTGGTGGCTGACCTGAGAGGGGCGGGTCTGAGCTGGCGGAGTAATAGCGGGCATGACGGGCAGGTCGGGGACGGAGGGGAAGGGGGGGCCGCCGCGGGGGACACTGCGTGGTGGGGCCGTCGCGCGAGGGGGCTGGGTCCGGGTCTCTGGGGCGTGGTAGGTAGGAGCAGAGCATGTCGGACTGTGCGCGGGATGGGGGGACTTTTTTGGTCGACCCAAGTTGCCGACGAGAGCAGTTTAGGCGCCCTGGCGGGCGTCCTGTGCGCGCGCGCCTGCCGCCTGTCCGCGTCGCAGCAGGCCAGGTAGCCCCTCCCCTCCAGCACTGCGCCTTGTCCCCGACATCATCGGCAACAGCCAGCGGTAGGGCTTGAGGTAGTGGCGGGCGATTGAAAAATCTCTGCGCTGAACGTGACGTTCAATGTCTGCAGCAGGGAGGGCAGAGGTGAGAAGAGAACGGTCTTCTTGCACGCGGCTGCGCTGTTTGTCTGATTTGCGCTGCCCCCCTCCCTCCTGTTCGCGTCGCGCGGCGAGGGAAGCAGGAGCTCCGCGCTCAGCCCAGCAGCCGACCTACGTGAAGTCATAGAGGCGACGCTGTTCCTCCTCTTCAGACGCCAGGTCGAAGGACGCAGTCTAGGCACTGCTTTTGCAGCAGTGCCATTCGCGGCTCTTTACGGTCTTCCATCTCCATCTCCAACGCCGCGCTTCGCTGTGGGAGCGAGCTTTTGACATTCCTCTCTCGTCGAACTTCAGGCAATCCTGAGTCGCCTCCCTTCTCGCTCATTGTTGGTTGGTGGTGGCTGTAATTGTGGATCCCAACTCCGACGACATCGCTGCTGCTGTCAATCTCGTCGTCATGGACACAGACCAGGGGTACGCGATATCCGTGGCGATGTGCTTGCTCCCTGCCCTGTATTTCTGATCGTAGCCTTCCCTTTTTCTGTGATTGCCACCACCTTGTCATACGCTTTTCGACTATTTGCCTGTTTAGTATTGCATTCGGACCACTGACACCACAAATTTCCTTTTTCTGACTGTTTGGGAGCTCGTCTTATGCAGAGATCAGAGAGCTGTAGAGGCCGGGTGGGCTCGAGAGAGGAGGGAGAGTCGTTTTCTCTCGAACGAGACTCCGCTCGTCGTTGAATGTACTACACACCCGTTAGGTCGTGATGGGGTTCGGTGTCGGGCGAATTGGCAGTGTTTGCCTTGATGGGCTCGGTTTCGTCTCGTTGGATGTCCACTCTGCTGCGTTGATTACTGTCCCTCGATGTCAATTGTGGTCATCATATCATCTTGTGTATGTATGCTAATTAATTTCCCTTCAGAGGTTGATTACAATCAAATCTGTTCTCTGGCAATCATTATAATTCACCGTGTGGTTTGTCAATTTGTCGGAGTTGTTTGCACGTGGTGTGTATAGTCCATGGTTGTTCTTCTGCGAGGGGGCTTTTGCGGGCACGATCTTTTGACGGGCAACCGTAGTCTCAGTTTGTTTGAGGTAGTCTAATATTAATTTGAATTGTTTCTATTTTTTGTCAGGAAATTGTTCATCGGTGGAATATCATGGGAGACGACGGAAGGTTTGTAGCTTTCACCTCGTTTCTCGAGTTGTTGGCCTGCATATGATTGATTATAGGGGTTGCTGCTTGCGGTTTTTCGTGTGGGTTATCGGATTGCTTGGTTGCTCGAAGGGTGGCAGGGGGGAAGGAAAGAGGGGAGGGGGGGAGGGAGGGGTGGCGGGGCGCTCTGAATTTGGAAGGAATATGAATCTGATTCGTAGGTAGAGGGGCGTGGTGGGCGTCGTTTGCGACGAGGTCGGCTCGTTTATAGGGTGTGGAAGGGTTGCTAGCCAGAATTGGCTTTTCGTAGAACATCTCGTCGTTGTGGTTTGGAGACGGGAGGGAGTGTGTTTGGGTTGGAATGTGTGAGATCTAGAGGGTTATATGTACCCGGACACGCACAGACACAGAGAGAGAGAGAGAGAGAGAGAGAGAGAGAGAGAGAGAGGACATCTGGAAGATGTTTTAACTGGTTGTTGTTTATGTTGCAGAAAAGCTGAAAGAGTATTTCGAGAGATACGGCGAGGTTGTGGAGACGATTATAATGAAGGACAGGGCCACGGGTAGGGCTCGCGGATTCGGGTTTGTCATCTTTGCGGACCCTGCCGTTGCCGATCGAGTGGTTGCAGAGAAGCATACGATCGATGGGAGACAGGTGAGATGACGAATGTGATGATGGTGACTGAGCCGATGGCATTGGTCAATATTTCTAGTCGTCTGTTCATTGTGACTGAGCTCTCTATCATGTCGTCTGTTCATTGTTATGGATGATACGGTTTGATACCTAAAATGAGGGGGCCTTATCTTATTCAAGTACTATGTTGGTTATTAGTTCGTGGGCATGACTGTGGTGCAAAGGGTGGTCTCTGATTCTTGCCAGATGGCCCTAATCCATTTCTTTGGAAAGCGACGGTTCGCTGCTGGTTGGCGGAAACGGAGGAGGAGGTTATGTGAGGTCTCTGGGAATCCGACGGGACGGTGTCATGCTGAGCAGAGTTGGAAGTCGACGAAGCGGGGGTGTACACACGGGGGCGCGGCGAGGATGTGACGGCGAGGGTAGAGTAATGTGATAGTGTTTGAAGCAACGGCGATGAACGGGGAAAAACAGAAAACGTTGTCCTGAAATCAAGGGTTTCTCGTCGACTTCTGGGGGGTGCGCCGTGGAATTAGGTTAAACGATCTCGGGGTGTGGCGCGATTGTGAGGGGAATGTGGGAGGGGTTCAAGAGAGCGGTGATTGTAGGGGGAGTGCGGTCGGGGATCAAGAGATACTGTAGTAGGTGGTGCAACGAAGCGAACTGGGAGCGTCAGGGAGAAAGAGGTGCCGAGACGGTGCGAGTATGGAGGAAAGCCGCTACACGAAAGGAATGTGGAGGAGGGTGTTCCGGAGAGAACACGTGCAAACGTCGATAGCGAGATGGGAGAGGTGTGCGTTAGCGGCCAAATAAGAACGTGAAAGGCGCAGGAAAGCGGCGAAAAGAGATGTGCGGCGAGAGGGTGATATGATTATCATGCGCGGCGCACCGCGTATTTGAGGGGATCAGAGGAACAGAGAAGTGGAGATGGTAAATTATGAGAGGGGTGAGTCGATTAAAACTGATGATGTAGTAAGTGGGGAGGGGAAGCGTTTGCGGACGAAATATCGCAGATGTAGGGGCGACTGATTAGATTCTGGCGGACTAGAGAAGTGAGGGTAGGGGGATGGTAGGGGGTCGGTAGGGGGGGGTGGTAGGTCAGCGAAATTCGGAATTTATGTTCCGGAGGAGGTGGAGAAAGCAATGATGAGACGCCTTGTTCGCCGGTAAGAGAGAAGCGGACTTCCATCTTCAGTGAACACAACGCACTCACGACTGTTTGAGACTGGAAAAATGGCTTGTATACACTCATAGTCGCGTTATGTTCGGGAAAGACGGGGCAGTCTGAAGTGGATGGGACTGATGAAGCGGGGGAAACTGACGAGGAGTGGGCGAGGCTGTCGAGGAGCGAGCGGGTCGTCGGGCGATCCTTTTTTCTCGGGAGATTGACTGGCGTTTGCTACTGAGGATGGCGGATTTATGAATTGTGGAAGGGTGTGTGCTTCGATGACAAGTCGGCGGCAACAGACGTGTGCACGCCATCGCGCTGATGGGTGATGGATATTGAAGTGCATGAACCGAAAGGTTCGATGAGGATGGTATGAGGAGTGACTGTGCGTTGATCTCCAGCGAGGAAGACCTGCGCGCGCAGTCTTCGGACGTAGGTCGTGAAGGCCTCCGCGCGCAGTCCGGCGCTGGTCGGCGGAATTGAACGCATCAAGTCGTCGAGAGTCGAGCAGGAAGTGAAGGGGTTGATGGTCGGGGAGTGACGATTATGGTATGTAGGCAGTTGTCAGCGGAGGATGGGAGGCTGTTGGGGAGGTGCGTGAGCAATCGAAGATGTTCGTAGGAGAGGGAGGGGATGTCTGAACTGAATTGGGGAGGCTGAGCGAGGGGTGAAGGAAGAGGTCGATGTCATGGGGGCGGCGTATGGAGGACTAGATGGATTGAGAGGAGGGTGGAAAGGTGAAGGTGAATTTGACGAGAGGAGGATCCTTAGGAGATTAGATAGAAGGATGTGGTGCAGTGCCACAGGTTGATCGAGGATTAGGTTGCACGAGTGGGCGTACCGACAGGGATGTGCATGGGGTGGTTGGCTCACTGAACTCGGGTAAGTGGGTGGAAGGCAGAGTGAGTGAAATGGGTGGGACGGAGAAAAACGCGCGTTTGGAGTCAGGTGCAAAATTGGGAGCGCGTTGTTTGAATGATTGTAGAGAGGCAGGTAGTTGATGAAAGGATGGAAAGCCGTGGAGAGGCAGGGGATTTTCCATTTCGGGCGGAAGTCTGGAGATGCAGTGAAGAACAATGACAGGAGAGTCTGGGAGGTAGGTAGGGATGGCGCGCATGCGGGGGAAAGGGAGCGGTGAGCCCGTGACTGTGTTTGAAGGTAGGGAATTGCACGACAGGGAGGGACCACAGAGCTTACGTGGTTGTGGGCGGAGTGGGTAAATGAGCATGCGATCGATAGAGGGAAAAGCATATGAGGGTTTCTTTGTCACTGTGTGCAGGGTCTCTGTTCGTGGAGAGAATGTGTTGGGGCGACATATGGAGGGAGGGAACCGGATTACAGATATGTTGATGATTGGAAGATACGGAAGTCTCGTGCTTGAAGGGGACTGTGGGGCAATGAGATGCTTGTTGGGCGATATGATGTGGTGGTTTATATGTTGACTATGTTCGTAGCACCGCCTGAGCCTAACTAGTTGTCTCTGTGTGAAGGTCGAAGCGAAAAAGGCCGTGCCGAAGGATGAACAGCAGAATATGCATAGGAGCAGCTCCAGCGGGCCTGGACAAGCCGGTCAGACGCGGACAAAGAAGATTTTTGTTGGTGGTTTGGCGTCCTCGGTGACTGAAGGTAATTACGATGCATATGTGATTTCTCGTTTTTCGTCTGTTGCTTACATGCGTGTTAGTTTTATCTTAGGCTTTGCCGTTCTTACCTTATTGCGCTTGTTCGCCGCACGCTTCTTTCTCACGCGTCTTGGGTGAATTCTGTATATCCTTGCTTCTGTTTGATGGATTTAACAGATTGTGCTGCGTCGCTATGATTTACTATTGATCGGTTTTAACGGATTGTATTGCGTCGTTATAATTCACTATGGTCTTCCCGCGAATACGTTGAATGTGGACGAGTTATCCCTGTAATTTCGTTCTGGTGTGCGTCATGTGGTGGGGGAGGGCCGTGGTGCTCTACCACCGAATTCACACGAACAGAGCGCCCGGTCATCTTTGCTGCATCTGGTCTGAAATTTGGCCCAAATATAGATATAATGAGTGGGCGTTCTCTCCGGATGAAGACGATTGTTGCATGTAGATGGAAGACGTGCTCTCTGGCTAGTAGATTGCCCCGCTAATCAGTGCTAGCGGTGTCTGCTCTTACCAGCACTCCTAGCACCTGCTCGAGTTCGTTCTAAAAAAAATAAAAATAAAAAATAAAATTGCCCTGCTAATGCAGACGATTTGATTACGTAGGTCAGTCGTGTGATAGCAAGTCGTTTGTTACCCTTATCTCGGTGAATAGGTTCCTGACCGACGTTCGTGATGGGACTGACGAAGGTACGACGGACTATCTGATTGACTCGGGGCTTTTGGTGGTTCTCAAACGAGTCATTGACTGAGAACCGGGCGCTGCGCTTTGGGCGAGAGCAGGTTTTCCACGTAGTTTTTTTGGCGCACTCGATAAAGGTAGGTTTTGTCCTTGTCCTTGCGGTACTCGTGTGCAAACGCGCGATTCGTCGAGACATGCCGGGTTGCGCTGATTTCCAAGAACTCGGTATCTTTGCATTAATTGACGCAGATCTCTCGTTTGATGCCATGGAACTCTTTCATGTACTGATGACACTTCTGAACCCCGGAACTTTTTTTCATCTTGTAGGGTAAGATACCTTGAACCTTGTCGACGCCGTTCTGTGGGCTAATTTTACATAGGAAGTCACTGGAAATGGCAGTTGTGGATGGTCTTCGGGGCGAGTGAGCTAGGGGAGTAAATGAAGTCACTGGAAATGGCAGTAGTGGATGGTGGTTCGGGGCGAGTGAGCTAGGGGAGTAAATGAAGTCACTGGTAATGGCAGTAGTGGATGGTGGTCTTCAGGGCGAGTGAGCGAGGGGAGGAAATGTTGTGAGTTGCGTTGATGCTAGGAGAAGTTGGAAATAGACTTTCGAGAGAATTCGAGAGGATTTGAAGAGTCGTTTTCCGCTGGCCGGTTGCGATGTGACGTCGTGAAGTATTATTACAGAAGCGTGACAGGTTATCTCAGTTTCTACCCGGGGGTCACGTGACCGTGTGAGGTGGTCGCGTGACCGTGTGAGGTTGGGTTCACGCGCAGTGATTCGTTTTGTTTATGGAAAATCTCAAACGAGTTTTTTATTCCTCTTTTATTTGGACCCGTTCAATGTCAGTCGCGAGCGAGTGGGTTTTTTCCTTTTTTTTTGACGACTTCTCGATTAATGCGCGTCATCCTTGCACAGGGGCTATGGTAATGTTCTCTGTATTCTTGCACTTCGCGAGTGGGTGTTTTCTGTTTTTTTTCTTCTTTTTTGGGACTACTTCTCGATTAATGCGTGTCATCCTTGCGCAGAGGCTATGGTAGTCTTCTCTGTATCGTTCCAATTCGCGAGTGTTTTTTTTTTTTTTTTCCCTTTCTGTTTTGGGCTACTTCTCGATTAATGCGTGTCATCCTTGCACAGGGGCTATGCTAATGTTCTCTGTATCGTTCGAATTCCCGAGTGTTTTTTTTTTGTTTTCCTCTCTTCTTTTGGGACCATTTCGCACTTAAAGTGTGTCATCCTTGCGCAGGGGCCATTTGCTAATTAGCCTTCTCTATGTCGTTCCAATTTTAACGGATGTCCGGAAGAACGCGAATGGGTGGGTGTTTTACCTGTTCCGTTGCAAAATTGTCCTCTCTTCTTCCTCCTTTTTTTTTATATCCATCTCTTCTTTTCTTCTTTCGTTGTGAACGTTATTTTTAGAGCGCAGTTTTTGTGTTGAGTAGTGTTGTTTTCTGTCGATTTGATGGTTTGCCGTTGAGTACATTGTTTTTCTGTCCAGTTGTGATGTTTTTCATATCGTGTTTTGTTTTGTTTTACGTCGCAGAGGACTTCAAGAAATATTTTGAGCAATTCGGGACAATTACCGATGTTGTGGTCATGTACGACCATACTACTCAGAGGCCGCGCGGATTTGGCTTTATTACCTTCGACAACGAGCAGGCTGTGGAGAAAGTACTCCAGAAGTCGTTCCACGAGCTGAATGACAAGACTGTAAGTCTCAATTGCCTTTTTCAATGAAAGTCTCTCTAGTTTTCTCCCTTCTCTGCGGTTCTTCCTCCCCTTTACGCTGCTGTGCCGCCTCCCTTTTTCCTGTCTGTTTCATTATGGTGTATTCGTCCGCCGTGCATGATTTCCATGATGCTGTATCCGTCGTTGTCGCTCTCCGTTCGCGCGCCGAATTCCACCTTAGTCTATTTTTTGGCGCGCAATTTTGTTTCCCGGTAGTTTCTTTCGCGCGCAAGTTCGTCACCCCGTAGTCTGTCTTTTTCGTTCGCGTGTACTTTTTTTTGTAATCTACTCAATCTCTGAGTTTTTGGGTCCACCTTCCTCTATTTTCTCTCCTGTCTATTTCGTTTGCATGTACCCCTTTCTGTATCAGCTTAATTTATCCAAACATTTCTCGTCCGCCTGTGTATTTATTTTTGTTCGTGTTTTCCTCTCAAGTCGGTTCCTTGGCTCCCCGTTTGTTGTATCTCGATACTCCCCTCGCTCCCGCCTATCCCTCAGTGCCTACCCCGCTCCATTCAATTCTCCTGATTTGTTCCATCGTTATTGTTCTGCCCCTTGAGTGTCGAATATTCCCATTTTTTTTACAACCTCCTATGACCCGTCCTTCGCTCCCGTTACTCGTTAATATTCTCTATTTGCCCTGTCTCTACTCCATTCTCTTGACCTCATTTGCATGGTCTGTTGTCTCTTTTGTCTGATCTCTATCTCTCTCTCTCCACAGTTCCTTCGGTGTTTCGGCTCATTTTAGTGTTTCTCTTGACCTCGTTCTCTACTCCATTCTCTTGATCTCATTTGCATGGTCTGTTGTCTCTTTTGTCTGATCTCTATCTCTCTCTCTCCACAGTTCCTTTGGTGTTTCGGCTCATTTTAGTGTTTCTCTTGACCTTATTTTGCATGGTCTGCTGGCTCTTTTGTCTGATCTCTATTCTCTCTCTCTCCACAGTTGCTTCGGTGTTTCGGCTCATTTCAGTGTAATGTGAGGGCCTCGCAGTAAACCTAATTCTCATATCTACATGAGACTACATCCTTAATTGTGTTCCTCGTCTTACCCTCTTCCGGCATGCCGCGTCGAAGTCCCATCCCATTTTGGAGAGCGTTTGTAAGCATGTACTGATTTTCTACCGCACTTTTGTCCACCGTTCTCCTAGTCCCTTTTTTTTTCTTCTGCTTCGAGCTCTCGTCCATTCGACTGCATAATCCTCGGTCCATGCCTATGAAGACCTCGAGGTTCTCATTTCGTCGATCAGCTCGGTTGTCGTTTGCAGACACTTTATCCGCTTCCTGACCTCTCTCTCCGTGCTTGCTTGGGGGTTGTGTGTGCACTATGTTTTATTTTTGGACCTCTTTTCCTTCGCGATAAGTTCCCTTACCGCTACCGTCTTCACCCGAGTCAAACGCCCGGTCATTATCGCCGCATCTGGTCTGAAAGTTGGCCCAAATACAGCTCTAATGACGGGGCGTTCTATTCGGTTGAAGACGGCAGTCCGTCCGTAGGCTGTAGGCCCAAGGAGGGGTACTCCCTGGTGTTTTACTTCCGCTGTTTTCCCTCAATTTTATGGCCACCCTTTTTCAGTCGAGCTTTGTTTGATTCCTTCTCTGTCGCTGTTGGTGACGTGCAGTTTCACAAGCACGTCTGCACCTCTTCTCCGCGACATCGTCTTTGCCTCTTCGCTTCCCCTCTTCCCCTCTTCCCCTCTTTTCTTCTGCTCTACCCCCGTTACTGAACTCCCTCGCCAGTCCGCTCTGGTGTAATCCTTCTCAGTGACCTTGAATGTCGCTGCAAACGGATTTTTTTTTTTTTTTTTGTGTAAATCTAAAAGTTTGGACCATTTCTCGATTTATGCGTGTCATCCTTGCGCAGGGGCCATTGCTGCAAACGGATTTTGCAGCAATGTTTTTCTTTTGCTGCTCAGTGTGGATGTGCAGCCATTCTAAATTTGTTCGTGGGTGGACCATAATGACCGCGTTCTCCTGCCGCAAATACAGCTACAATGACCGGGCGTTCTGTTTGCGTGTACGGTGTCCGAATATGCGGTCACTTGTCTCGATAACGTCGTGTAGAACATCAATAGCTTAATTGAATTTGCGGTTTTATTTTGGCAGAGTGTTGCTGGTTTTGGTCTCAGCCTTCTAGATCGTAAGGGAAAGGACATGCAACAACGACTTATGGCCCGATGGCGGTGGTCATGTCTTCTGGCTACCCGATTCTCTATCCGAGTGCTGGTTTTACGACGTGTTGGTTTGCGTGGCTTCAGACCGGGACGTAGTGCTCACACTGAGTAGTTCTGCTTCAGCGCACTGGCGCTATTTCTCCCCGTCCGATCGAGGATTTTATGTATGCTATGAACAATCTCTTTTTTCGCGTTGTGTCCTGAAACGATGAGAAGATGAATCCTTTTCCGGAGTTGTCTCCTCGTCTTTGTGCTTGAGTGTTTTCTTGTGTGGTGTCGAGTTGATATTTATTTTTTTGCGTTCTATTTGTGGAAGGAGTGGTCGGTTGAGTTGCGGACGCTTATAAAGACCTGGTTTCCAGCAAGATCCGAAGCCGGGTGATGGCCCTAGTACCACCATGGAGATTGGGAGGATTCCCGTCTTCGTGACGCTCCATTGTGAAATACAGAATTGCAAGTTGATTCGGAAGCATCATGCGTGATATCAGTTTGTCCTTGTGCCTGGCAAGTGTTATCGTGCTGTGATCGTGTACAGAGGAGGTA